GTTATCTTATCGGTTGAAGTTAAAACACAGGCCATTCATCGTCTATGTTTGGGTTGTTTTTCTCGACACAAACATTTGTTTTCAATAAATATAGGAAATACCCAACATTTTTTTTTGAAACATGCCGACACAAAAGATGAGTGTCCAAATTGAAACGAAAATAAAGACAGGCTTCTTATATTCTTTTTGAACTTATAACTAGTTGGTTCTAAGTGTGTTTGTATATTATTGGCTTTCAAAAAGATTAGATTACACGATAAGAGTTGACTGGGGTATATGTAAAGTCATCTGGCCTTTTCCTGTCCGGCAGTAATAACCATGTTTTAAAGGCGGCCGTTAACCTGTTTTTTTTTTTTTTGTTTTTTTTTTTGGATGTTTTTTTTTTTATGTAGTCAGAGTACCATGTTCTCTGCGATCTTGGAGTTAGTGAAAATTCTGAATACATGGATATATTGCTGGTAGTCCATCAGAGTGATATTTAAAACTCGTAAGTCACAAATGATTTTAGTTTTCTATATACAGCTTTTGTAGATTCACGGAAAGATTACGATTTCATATAGGTTGCGGCATTTTTTTTCAAAAACGACTTTTCACTTGTTTATTTTTTACTTATTATCTCATTTTCTATTGATGTATAATAATATAGCATGCTGACAAGATAGTATATAATTATCATATTGTTAGAAATGCTCATGTCAAAGAGTACAGAAGTAATTAAGACGGACAGACGGACATGATAAATTATGATATCATAATTCCTAAAATATGCTCATGATTTCAGAGTACCATCAGATGTCTGATAAATCATTCATCATCCCAAACGTCAAATAACAAAAGCGTTATGCCGTTATAAAACTTGTTCTAAAACAGAATATTCAAAATCTGTTTAGACAAATTGGCTAGTCAAAAAGTTGACGAGGCAGAAAGTCCTGTGATTGCTTTTTTATAATTTACGATTTCCTAATCACATGTGCCAGCTTTTCTGCACCACATTTGTATATATTATTAATGCCTACCAGTGCCTAGTAGTATACAGCAGATTAATTTTTAAAAACGGAATTGAAACCTCTCCGTGCATGAAATTGTTTTTTAATCCAATTTTAAAAGCATCGTCATTACTTATTAAAAACATGTTTTTTACATAACAAAATTTGTATAGACAATCCTTCCACATCAACGTGATTTATAAAATTGTCTAGAGCTGCATTAGCATTATTTCATTATCATTATGGTAATATAGTTATATTGGATAAAATCATCTTTAATTGAAAAACACATTAATGCAAAAATTTTGTTTTTCTGTTAAAACTATTCAACAAAAGAGAGATTTTAATGCACCCAATGGAGGACAAAGCAGAAATCATGATGATATTGAATATGGGTAATTCAATTCTTCCATAAAGTGATAAAGAATGGTTAAATGCGCATTGCACTTTTATGAGTTTACAGTACATATTTCATTCAACGACCCGAGAGCATTTAAATTATACCATGCGGTCTAATATAGCTCTACTTCTGATCTGGGACAAAAATATAAAAAGACAAACCATAATACGACTCAGTTTTATAAATCTCGAGAGTTATGGTATACTTTGGAAAACAGAAATTATAGGCACCGACCATTCAACTTTTATAGGTTGGGTGCATCCTTTTTTAATACATTGTTTGATTCCATTTATTTAATTTCATTTGTTGGGGTATTTAATTTAGAAAGGGTTTGAAAAGAAAATAGTTCTGTTTTCTGTATTCGGACACATATCAAGATCAATTATTCGTGAGTTATTAGTAAAATTCAAAGCTTTGAATTCTGTAAAACATTGTAAACACTAACGATAAAAGGGGAATAAGGCAAACTTATCAAATTTGTATGTAAAAATATGTTTGGTGGTGTTTAGAAATCGGTTGGGTTTGACATATTATGGTTGAATTTCGAAAATACTTTATTTATTAATAGTGTAGTTCAGCAAGCTGTTGTATATTAACCACTTATCAGAACTTAAATTCAATTTGAAATGGCACGTTGTTAATTACAAGGCACCACTAAAATTGTCAGTAGGTGTCAATACGTTTAATTTCCTTCGGAAATAAGTTATAAAATATATTTAGGGATAGCTATAAATTGTTTTTATTAGCACTTCAGAATACGTAATGTAATTTACCACTTATTTCAAATTTGCATTGTAAATCTTAATTTTCAAATATTTAGCATAACCAGAGACATATAATACATGTCTCTGGCATAACATGTCAGTTATAATATGCTTCTTTATTTTAAAACGTTTTAACTTCAATTCACTTATTGATTGATTGATTGATTGGTGTTTAACGCCACGTTCGCCACTATTGTGCTATTTCGTGGCGGTCAGTTTTTATTGGTGGAGGAAGACGGAGTGCCCGGAGAAAACAGACCTTCGGAACGAAAACTAACAATCATAGTCAATTAAGATTGGAGTCAAGCTCGCAACCTCAGTATTGACAGGCTGATGATACAGTAGTCACAGTGTGGGAACAGCTGTCCGTTTTCTTTTTCTTTTTCTTTCTTTTTTGATCATTCGGGAGTCTGTCATGCGAGGCTCCGACATTCGAAAAAATAACAAGTTGCTAGATCGAAAAGTTTGATGAACTCAAATGTTGCTATATAAAGTTTCTGCTTCGAGATTTTGTAACGAAAACATTCTACATGTTAATATGAACCAATCAAATAATGAAAACGTTCTATGCATCCGAACGTTTTACTGTGAATGGTGGTGACAAAAAAATGCAAATGAAAAACATAAAAAAAAAACAATCGTTGCCACCAGCATTTTCACATGTACCTTTTCTGATTCATAGTCTTACCTGTCGTTTAAAAGCCATTGATCAAGTAGTTCTTCAAAGAAATTCATTATCTCAATGTCAGATATTTTATTTACTGTACAATCACTCTGGCCTTTCCTGCCCCCCCCCCCCCCCCAAAAAAAAATTGTGAAGCATGGGTTGTCCTCAGCTTAATAATGAATATTTCGATAATTTTACCCCCAAAAAATGTAAGTTTGCGCCTAACCTAAAATCCTGGATCCGCCCCTGGGGATATAGATATATCTTAATTGTCATGATTTGTTTGACTCGTTATCCAATGATTCAAGTATACTTAATAAAAACTGTATTATCACTGATATTTTCGATTGCAGATTAAGTTGATGACAAAAATGTCATTAAAATTATTTTGAATCGATCATCTTATTTTGATTCGTGATATAGCATTTAGTTTAAACATACTTCATTTGAAAGACATGACATACAAAATATGATCGTAGTAATACACAAAGGGATTCGAAAACATTATTGTTCTTATATTAATCCGTCAACAGAGAAAAGGAAATAACTGCTATTTAAATGGTTAAAAAAATGTCATTCCGATGTTTTCTTTTCCCGGCCGGTAAGGCTGAGATAGTAATCTCAACGTAAGTGTTTTAATGTCAACAGTGCTGATTATATACAGTGTACATATTTTACTTAATAGTGTATGTAAATAGACAGAGTCTTGGTATTCTTCCCCTTTTTTCATTATATAAAACTTCTTTGAGACAGATATAAAATAAAATCAGAGACATATATTGATAAAATATAGAGAAGTGAAAATTACGGGACGGTCTCACTAATTAGCGACAACAAGAGTTTTAGCGACAAGAAGCGTCAAGAAGCGACAAGAAGGATAATTAAGCAAGAAATTTAATATTCTATCAATAAATATGAATTTATAAAAAAGTCAATATCCATAGTAGTAAAGCATCACACATGTTTGAAACATAGATCTAATATGCTAGATTTATTTGTGATATGTATTACAGCAAATATTACGTTTTCCCTGTCATATTATGATATTAATTTTTACTTGTGTTTTAGAACAATAATATATATTATTTTATAATTTTTTAACGCTCTCTTTGTCTAATATATAATAAACTGACTGCATGCAAAATGCATTATTGATCATTAATTGTGCATCATTGTCCGGCAGAAAAAAAAACAGACATAATTTGTGAGAAACAATGAACCAAGGATATGTTTAGTAAGAAATCCTTGTTGAAATCAAACAAGAGAAAAAGGTAATTAAAACGTTAATATTTTATATCATTTTATTTTGTGTATTGCCTCATTAAACGATTTATCATGTTTATGCATGACTGTTTTCAACAGGTGTTCACTATTTACAATGCTTGTATATTCTGGCGCGAGTAATTGTATAATCTGACGCGTGTACAAAGTTAAAGGTGATAATTGGATGTTATTGTAGCAATTAAAACAAAGGACACGCGTATCGCTTTTCTCATTTGATTTTTTTTTCTAAACATATTTTTTTTTCAAAAAGGACAAATGGATTAGACACATTTTTTTTAAACTTAGTAACGTCTTCTCATTTGATGTTTCACATTGTGTGTCAAGTTTCACCCCTGTGTGTACTGTTATCTTCAATCTTTTATTAGGAGTTTGGTATTTTGGTGATTTTACTTTTTCATACAATGACTTTGCTTAAAATAGTACATACATTATCTTAAACATATTTCGTAATATTTAATAGAAACTAGACAATCCCTTTCTTCTTTACAAATGTTTAATTTCTTCATCTATCAATATAATAAAAATAATGAAAATCACGTTATTACTGTCCGTATATATAAAAAAAAAATGCATATTTTTCAATATATTTATTTAGATAAGTTAGTTTAATAAGAATTATTTTAAGTTTTCTTGTCGCTAAATAGTGTTCTTGTCGCTTCTTGTCGCTTTTTGACGCTTCTTGTTTCTAATTAGAGAGACCTTTACGGGAAAAGGGAAACAATCAAAAGAATTATCGTTTCTTTGACAGTTAAATGTACCATGTAGTAAATGATTATTTTAAAAATGTTTAATAAAAAAAATGGTGAAATAATAATATCTGCCACTGCATGTACATTTGTTTTTAAAATGCTGTAATTTTAAGCATTGGTGTAAGCGTTTTTTTTCATTTTCATAAGCTACACCCGAAAAAGCGTTGATAGCAACACAAAAAAGTATGGCTGTCACGATTGATTTAACGCGAGGTGAAGTTACAGAATTTAGCGGATCATCAGAAGAGGACATAAACTATGCAAAAACATTTTGGCAGTCTGTTCAACTTCAGCCTCCTGTTGAATCTCGATTGGTATCTAGTGACATCAAACAGAGGTTGAGAGTTGCACCATCCGCGTCACAAAGTATGATAGATATTCAGTTTTGAACGTTAATTATAATAGTTCCCTTTTATTTATATAAAAGTTTTTGTTGAAATCTGTCTTCATACAAATGTTTCAATGTGTACCCTTTCCTCTCAAGAATTAAACAACTCTGACTGATCGATGCAATGATTGTGAAGATACATGGAACTAAATGGATCTTATGTATACTTGGCGATCGCCATGCATACCTACTCAACTGACTAAGACTCCTTTTATATATCCACTTATACATGTCCAACTTATAAAAAAAAAAAATTTTAAGTTCTAACACAAGTTGTACCAACAAAAAAAAATTAAAAAAAAATGACCATTATACCGGTACCACGATTTCCCGAGGATTGCAAGAACAAATGAATAACCCAAGGACAAATTGATTTATCCCGAAAACATGATTTTACATGGTGTTATACCACTTTAAACAATATTAAAGAATATCATTTTAAGATATTATTCGTTTTTACTCAATAAAAGTGCAATTTTACTTAAGAAATCGATTAGTAGGTCTTGTATGCAAATTCCTTGTTGAAAACAATATGGCAGATATAATTATTCAAACGGTAGACAACTTAAAAAAAATAAAAGTATTAAAAGTACTGAAAGAATAGATTCTTTAAAAAACCTGAAATAATGAAAATTTAATACAGTTACCATAACTTCTTTCTGGTATTTAAGCTTATCAAATTACAGTACTTTGCTTTCAAGTCGAGTTATCTACCTTTTGAATAATTATGTCCGCCATATTGTTTTAAACAAGGAATTTACATACAAGACATACAAATTGATTTTCTGAAGATAACTTGTACGTTTATTGAGTATAAACGACTAAAACGTCTTAAAACTTATAATTGTATGCTGTTACACTAATTTAAGCAGTATAACACCATGTAAAATCATGTTTTCAGGACAAATAAATTTGTCTTCGGGATATTAATTTGTTCTTGCAGTCCTCGAGAAATCGTGGTATCCCAATTATACCACATCTCCTTATTTTTATAATGTCCACAAAGACACATCCGATAGACTAATTACACCAACAAAAAATAGTTGAAATATGCATAGTAGCTCTTTTTAAGTACAACCCCGTAGCACAGGTGCTTGGAGGAACTGAAATGCTCTGCTCACTGATACTGGAACAGCTAAGATGAGTATTGAATCACATGAGGTGCATTTACTTTATAAGATTTACATCATTTTGATTTTACTAACTTGCACATTTGATTCCTTGTAAATACAAATGTATACATTTATTTGCACACTTTTTTTTGTATGACCAGAAGAGACAGAATAAGTATTAATTATGGCGGGAACCAAACAACAGAAAGAGAATAAAAAAATCCCTGGTTCCCTTCCCTGGGTTTTGTTCACACTGAATCCATATGAATGGCATTTATGTTTTTATATCGGAATGTATTTTTCAATTTGGTTAATTTAAAAAAAATATAAGTTATAGGCAAGTGTAACACGTTTTCAAAGGACGTGAAAAAAAATTCACATCAAACTTTATCCAAAGTATGCCATGATAATTATATTTTTTAAAAGAAGATAATAACCTCTTCAATAATTGTTCATGTTGCTTATTCAGTCATTTACTAGATTAATGTTTCCACTGGAGAATTAACTAATTTCATGTTCCAGAATTTTACTACGACTGACCTCATTTTTGTAAAACAATCACTTTTGGTCTGTGACATCAAATAGATTCTTTTGTGATGCTAAAAATTTTGGGAAAATGTTTTATTTCCGTCAATGGCATACAAACTTCAAATTGGTATCTGGCACATATGTGCATTTAACTTATTTAGCAGTTTAATGGGTTATTTTTTAGGTGTATCAATAGTTCATATGTTCAAGTTAACAATTCAGCAATGGATATGTTCAAGTTACTAATTTAGCAATGGATTTTTTTTCAGGTGGAGCAATGGTGCATATGTGGAAAGATGAACCAAAAGGTAATGGTATTAAATAAGAATTGAGTTTGAAGTATTATGAAAAGAATGAGAGGTAGGGTGAACATCAATAAAACAGCAACCCTCCAATAAGGTCAAACCAAAACAAATATATAGAGGTCAACATATGGTCTTCATTGATAGTAGAAGTAAATCTATAATTGCTATTGTACAATTTTTTTTAATAACTTTATTTGATCAGAAAGAAAAAAATTCTGCAATCTATATGAATTGCCTCCCTTATGCCAAATACTGTTTTGTGATAGTGTGTTACACAAACTGTATGTAAATTGAGATGTGGTACAATGTATGGTTAATTCTATATCTACCTTAAGGTCTGGTCACTAACAATTTGTAAATAGAATTTAATATGTTATATATATAAGTTTTAACTTATTTAAACAGAGGAGAGAGCAACTAGAGAATTTCTAATGAGAGCTCAAACAATGGAGAAATTAGAGGAATATGAAAGGATGCAAAAGTTTGCTAAAGCAATGGAGGAAGATAAGCAGTTAGTGAAAAAACACAGGGAAGACAGAATAAAGGTACTGTGATCAAATATTAGAAAGACTGGATTATGTCCCTTTAGCTTAAAATGCTGTATGCATTTCAAAATCAAAATGTATAATACATAACTCTAACAAGTATAAAAACAAAATAAAGAGAAAACAAGGTTGTTTTAAAGAAGTTGAATTGTTCATCAGTAATTATTTCTTGTATTTGCAGGACAAAAAAAGACCACTTAGTAGGAATCATTGTTTTTGTCAATTTAAGTTATGATTTGTTTTTGTCAATTTAAATGTTAAAGGTACATGTTCTTATGTATTTGAATTTTCTTAAACATTTTTAATTCTGGCAAATGAAATAAAAATTGATGATGCTTGTTAATTTATATCAGTTCTCTGATAAAGAGAGATGAAAGATAGCAAAGAGATATTCAAACTCATAACTGACATAAGTAGAAAACGAACTGACAATGCCATTGCAAAATAAAAAAATAAACGAAAGACAAACAACTGTATACAAAACACAACAATACACAACACAGTTGATTTAGCATATACATTTAAACTGATAGCTGTACTTGTTCACAATGTGAATACCTTGAGAATACATTGTTACAATACATTGGTAAATCAATCTTTACAAATTAACAAATCTTGGATTTTTTTCATCTTTCCAATATCCTGTCTGTATTGTGAGCAATTGTTGTTTGGTAGCTGACTCCTCGTATTTACACAAAATATTAACAAAATATTCTGACACAAATCAGTAAAACTTAGATTAAATATTTTTTTATGAAAAATCATCAGTTCATGCGTATTTTGTCAACATTTTACAAAAACTTTGCCAAATAGACCTCATACCTAGTTTACTTCAAAATACAATTTTCATTTACAAAAAATTTATTTTTGACCTTTTTACATGGTCATCAAAGATTGACATGTTATGGTACAATGTCCATACTGTTCCAATAACTAAAGTACGATACTTTCTTTGTCATTGTGTTGCAGTCTCTTTGATTGTACCTTACATCTCCTTTTATTTATACTTTTTGATTTGAAGGATTTAGTTGTTTCAGAGTTATGTGACTTTAATCATCAAAAGATATGCCTTAATGAATCTTTATCAATTTTTTACACAATACTAACTATATAGGAGTCAAACTTCCTTTAAATTTTGATGATTTTCATATATGTCATGTAAAATGTCAAAAATAATCATTAAAGAGATCAGGCTTAAAATTTAGTTTGCCAGATGTGAGTTTCCGTTATTATGAGACTCATTATCTGAGATCAAATTAAAACAGTTGAACAACCAAATTTAGTACAAAGCTGAGCAAGGCTTATAGTTAAGTACACAAGACATGCATTTCGGCACTGACAAATCAAATCAGATGGAACACTAGTAAATTTTCATATGTGGTACTGACAAATCAGATGGAACACTAGTAAATTTTCATATGTGGTACTGACAAATCAGATGGAACACTAGTAAATTTTCATATGTGGTACTGACAGATCAGATTGAAAACTAGTAAATTTTCATATGTGGAACTGATTAATCAGATGGAACACTAGTTAATTTTAATATGTGGTACTGACCAACCAGATGGAACACTAATTAAATTTCTTATGTGGTACTGATAAATAAGATGGAACAATAGTTAATGTTCATATGTGGTACTGATAAATATGATGGAACATTAGTAAATTTTCATATGTCTACTCATACACTGTAACTCATGTATGCTTTGAAAAATTCCTTGAATCATTTTTCCACAATGTTTTGTTCATAACATCATGTATTTTCAAAGTGTAATTTATGACAATAACTGTGCATCAGTTTAAATGTTATGATTTAAGATACATTTCCTCTATATTTGATTGCAGAAAGAAGAAATTTCTAGGGGTAAAAGTACTAATGGAAAGAAGAAAGTTAAGGAAGCATTTGTAGAAAATGACATTGACAATCCTGATGAGGAAACAAATGAAGATGCTCTAAGACAATTAGATCAGTTTGATAAAAACAAATTCGGTGAAGATTCAGACTCAGATTAGTACTAGTACAGCTGGGTTTTTTTAAATTTATTTATACTTATTGTGATATTTCCTTGCATTGTATTCTATGTACTTGTTGATTTTAAATTGTATGAATAAATTAAAAGTAGGAAGAGAACATTTTGTGAATATAACTGAGCCAACTGTAGATGATGACGATACTATTGTAGAGAAAATGTAATTTTAAAATACTTGATGGAATATCATGAATGCAGGTCTGGATGGGGTCCTTTTTTTCTTCATTCTTTAATTCTAGGGACCATTTTTCTCTATTCTTTAATTCTTTTGTCCATTATTCTATATTTTTTAAACTTTAGCTCCCAATTATTTTCTATTCTTCATTTTTAGCAAATTTTTAGCTCACCTTGCCCTCGTCCATCGTCGTCATCTGTTGACTTTTACAAAAATCTTCTCCTCTAAAACTACTAGGCCAATTTAACGAACATTGCCACAATCATCATTGGGGTATCTAGTTTAAAAATTGTGTCCGATGACCCTGCTTGCCAACAAAGATGGCCGAAATGGCTAAAAATGGAACATTGGGTAAAATGCAAGTTTTGCCTATTATTTTGAAAACCGCTTTAAATAGAGAAAATCTGTCAGGGGGTAAAAATGTTCATAATGTAGAGCTCTACCTCTTGTCTATTTCCGTCAAAACTTTCAGACAAATTATTATAGGAGTTATTGCCCTTTTTATATTTTCCCATTTTGCTTATTATCTCGAAAATTATAATAGAAAGAACTTTAAATAGCAAAAATGATCAGCAAGACAAGATCTACAAATAAATGAACATGACCAAAGTCTTCAAACAAATCCTTATTAGAGTTTTTGCCCTTAAATGATGATTTTTAACCAATTTTTGTCGAGCCTGTGACTTCTGTTGCAGAAAGCTCGACATAGGGATAGTGATCTGGTGGCCGCCACGTTAGCTTACTTCTTAAAAGCTTAATATTTCATAAAGTAGATTAACTGGATCCTTCATAATTTGTATATAGATGCCTTATTTATAAAATTGTCCTTGACTGCATTTTCATGGTTCAGTGACTACTTGAAAAAAAAGTTAAAATTTTTAGTACTCTTAATTTCTCTCTTTTTATGAGGAATAGGATAACTATATTTGTATGTGCGTACCTTGCAAGGTCCTCATGCCTGTCAGATAGTTTTCACTTGATCTCATTTCATGGATCAGTGAACAAGGTTAAATTTTCGTGGTCAAGTCCATATCTCAGATACTGTGAGCAATAGGCCTACTATATTTGGTGTATGGAATGATTATAAGGTGTACATGTCCAACTGGCAGGTGTCATCTGACCTTGACCTCATTTTCATGCTTCAGTGGTTAAAGTTAAGTTTTTTATGTTTTGGTCTGTTTTTCTTTTACTGTATGCAATAGATGAATTATATTTGGTCAATGAAAATATTTTACGATGTACATGTCAGTCTGGCTTGTTTTATTTGACCTTGACCCCATTTTAACGGTTCATTGCTCAATGTTAAGTTTTTGTTTTTTGGTCTATTTTTTCTAATACTTTTAGCAATAAGTCAACTATATTTGGTGTATGGAATGATTGTAAGGTGTATACGTCTGTCTGGCAATTATCATCTGACCATGACCACATTTTCATGGTTCATTGGTCAATCTTAAGTTTTCCTGGTTAAGTTTGTTTCTTAGATTCTTTATGCAAAAGGTCAACTGTATTTAAAGCATGTAATGATTGTAAGGTATACATGTCTGTCTGGCAGGGTTCATCTGACCTTAACCTCATTTTTATGGTTCTTTGATCAATGTTAAGTTTAGTTTTCCTGGTTAAGTTTGTTTCTTAGATGTGCAATAGGTCAACTACATGTATATTTAAAGCATATTTGGTGTATGGAATGATTGTAAGGTGTACATGTATTTCCAGTTTGGTTTATCTGACCTTAGAACTCATTTTCTTGGATGATGTTAAGTTTATGTGACAGTTGTAGTAAAGCTTTATATTTAGAACTATCAAAATAATATCAATGATTAGTGAAGAAGGCGAGACATTTCAGCGTGTGCACTCTTGTTTGCGTCATTGCCTAATATCTTAAAAACCATAAAAGATTAATAGAATCTTTAAAAAACATAAATGATCATGACAAGAGGATCAACTAATAAGTCAACATTACCATAATCTTCAGTTGACTCGTTATTGGAGTTAATGCCCTTTGATGATAATTTTGTACATTTTTTTGCATTTTTTGCCTATTATCTAGAAAACTATTACCGGTATAGATAAATAGAAACTTCAAAGAGGGAAAATTATCAGCAGGATAAGATCTACAAATATATCAACATGACTGAAATTGTCAATTTACTCTTAATAGAGTTATTCCCCTTTAATGATGATTTTTTTTTTTACTAAAAAAGTAGCTATTGTTGAAGATACAGGTGAGCGACACAGCATCTTTAGAGCCTCCACTTTTTTTTTTGCCCTCTATTCTGCACTTTTCATCAATTATTCTCTATTCTATATATCCCATCCAAACCCTCACGAATTACCAGTATTATGCATGTTGCTAATGAAGCAAATGTAGTGTTACATGATTTATTGTATCAGGAAGTTCATCAACATCTCTATTCGATAGGTCATCAATATTTTTTCTATGTCAGTGAATGTTTGTCTGACATGTCATATTTCACTGACCTCATTTCACACTCTATTGGTCGGTATAAATTCTCACTTCTCAGCATTTAGGTCTGTTCTTTTAAAACTGTGCATGACAGGTCAACAGTTTTAAGTGTGTTGATATGTTGTAAAAGTAATATATGGCCAATAACCTTATTTCCTGGTTACAGCAACATGTTGTCAGTATTAGGACTTCTCTGTAACAATAAGCCCTATTATGTCAGCATTATACTTCTCATATAAACAAAGCATATTTTACTGTTTTTCTTTTTTTAAAGATACGGGGGGAATGATTCATGGTTGTAGTATCGTAAAACATATGTTGAGTTTAATGGATTAGCTTTTAGCATTATCTTATCACTTGACATCTTTCATCCATTGATGTCCATTAAATTTTGCAAAAACCTTCTCCTCTGAAACTACCGGTACTAGACCAATTAATCTAAGAAGTAAACTTGACTTGTCCAGTTTAAAATGTGTATTTTATGATCTTGTCTGTCAACCAACATTGTCCCCAAGTCTAAAAATAGAACATAGGGTCGAAATGCATGTATTGTCTATTATCATTAAAATCCTTGTGGAAAAATGTCAGGGAAATACTCAAGAGACCAATTGACAGGAAGCTTGCATAAAATTATTTTTCATCATATTCTCTTGATCATAGTTTTTTATCTAAACAATTCTTACTGGAGATACACAGGCACTTGTTTCTATCCATTGAAAGATCCACTATCAACTCGTAAATATGCGTTGATAGTGGATTTCCCCATGGATAGAAACAGAAGTGCCTGATGTGGAGATATAAATAATAAAACCAACTAAATACAGAGAAAGTTTTCGCAAAACATTTTAAAGTTAAATACCAACACGTTTTCCCTGAAATTTACTTGTTTGTTATCTTATTTATCTCAAAATTCTAGATGGGATTCTAGTCGGACCCTTTATTTTCAATACAATATTTTTATTAAACCAATTGAGGGCAAGAATACAAACATGATAGTACATCAATAAGTGGACATATTTATACAAGCACATACAATAGTTTAAAAGGAAGAACACCTTTTCAACAGCAAAAGTTTTGATAAAAAAAAAACTTTGGTTATCTTCCTTTGAAAAGTAACTTAGTCAAATTTTCATATAATAAGTAGCATTACATGTACAAAATGTATATTATGATAAACAAATAACATGATGTTATAATTAGAACCAAGCTATGGCTTTCGTTTTTGGTGGTGTCCATCAAATTTCCATTTTGTTAGTTCTTCGTCTTTGACTTTTCTACCTTCTTATTTTTGTGTCAGCTCACCATAAAACTTTATTTCAAAATCAAAATTCTCGTTGAGCTAAATCTGTTTTCTGTTAGTCCTTTTGACTGCAATTATCTAATCATTGCTTTTATTTCTCATTTCATATTCCTATATTCAAGCTGGTATAATTTTTGTCTGAATTTGAAAAAAAAATGAATATTTGACCTTATGATTCAAAAAGCATGCACAATGGAAATTTCTTACTTCTTAATCAGCTGTTACAGTAAAAATAAATCTGCAGATATTTTTTTCAATATCTCAGAGACTTCTACCCCCTTTAATTTGTTGTTCAAGTTTTAAGCGTGGTTAACTGTTATATTTCTATTTTGTAAGTATTCTACACACCCATTGGGTAAGGTAATCTTGGAACAGTTTATTCTTGGAAATTTCAAACTGCAGTTTTTAGCATATCATGGACAGTTCATAAATATCATAATCATTTATATTTTCATTATAAAATTTTTACATAAATTTAGATTTTCTGACATACCACTTAAAAGGTACATGGCACTAGGTACCACCATTGATGTACGTTCAGAACAATTACAAATACACCAATTATTCAATTATAATAATTACTTCCTCATTGTAATTGACCTTTAAAATGACAGGAATAAAGAAAAAAGAGAATATATGGAACAAAATAAATACGAAACAGACCAGGAAATGGTTAGTGAAACTTGTACACGCAAAATACATCCGAAATTCAAACCGACAGACACGCATAATATCATACCAGTACATGATATCTGTACCCCGATTTCGACAATTTTAAAAACCAGAAATACCGCGGTACCAACACACATATATATAGTTATGATGACACACATTGTTGTATAGATTTCTCATTTCTCTTTTTCTTTTAAATGAGGATGAAATCAATGTAAAACCTTTTATCCCACAAGTGGATGATACAATTCAAAGGCAACTTTATTTGAAAAACAGAAACTTAACGAGCATCTATCCTGCAATAAAAAAATGAATGGGTAGTAATATATTTTTTACATTCAACTCAAAACATTATAAAGCCACGTTCACGTCCACACATTTGCATATGAACGCAAATATACTCGCGTATACATATTGTCGAGGAGAGCTAATTTGCACGACAGAACCCCTTGATGCAAAAGTAAAATTGCACAAACTCAAATTTGCCGCG